AAAAAAAAAATCCATGGCCGCTCTCGGCTTCCGTAGTAAAATAATCCCAGTACGCTTCTTTTTTTTCTTCTTCTTTTTAACCGTATCAGCCATACTTATGATAACTTCTACCTAACACAGATAAAATGCATCCACAAAGCTAGAAGTCTGAGCCAAAGGCCAGGCTTGTTGCAGTGCTCCTAACAGGCAGTGAAAAGGACTAGGAGCACTAGGTGTGACACATATTTCCCTGTTACTGCAAATCCAGGGTACAGAGTTGTATCACAAATGCAAAAATGAGCTGGCATTAACATATGAGGTTAGGTAGATAAGGTACGAGATCCCAAGATAAGGTTTCCATTCCCACTGCTAACCAAATGAAAGAGGGATACTTTGAGACTCTTTGTTTGTGGCAGATCTAAACACCACTGAACCTTCATGGGAAGTAAGCTTCCTCCTCTTTCATCCCTCAAACAACGGCAGGCTGACAAGAAGCACTGCAGCTGAGACTCTATGAGACACGGAGCGGTTAAGTCGTGTTCGATGTTGCTATAATATCCACCCACACTGCACACATTTATACCTACCCTGTCCCCACTTTTGGGCTCACTCTTATTGTCACTCACAGCATGAGCCCTTCCATCCATCATCTGTTTTTATCAGCAGGAAGCCCCTCCTCTGGTGAAAAGAGGACCCTGTCACTTTCCTCTGGACGACATGTAATTATGTGACCCTTCAGAGGTGCAGCCACCTGAGGCCACAGGAAGCATTGGAATTAATGCAGAGGTTTCAGATTGCCATGAGACACTCAATTACCCATGCTGCTGTTCGGCCTGTTGTGCAGATTGGATTGGGGTGTGAAAGAGAATTCATTTTCTGTCTTTGTGGGATGTTCAAGTTTTCTAATGGGAAAGGTTACATTTTTCATCAGGACTAAACTGTGATATTTAAATGTTTTTATATTGAAATCATGTTCATAATACACATGATAATAGCCTGTTTATAATCGTTGGCCTCTTAAATAAGTTCTGTCTTTCAGTTCTCACTATGTGGTTCACACTAGAGTCATTTTAGATTTGTATTTTTCATTAGTTTTTATTTCAGTTTCGCTTTTAATTTTTGTTTTTAATTCAGTGTAGTGTCACATAGTTTACATAGTTAGTTTTGTTTTTTACTACAATATGGTGGTATTTGTCAGTCAAGATTCACAATAGATATCATAATACAAACACATTGACTCACAGTGTCAGTAAACATGTTGACCACACTTGTTTTTGCCATAAAAGAGACAAAACACAATAAAAGATAAAGTTGACTAATATAATTTTTTCTTCTTCTAAATGTTCTATAGATTTTGTGAATGATAATTGTGTAGTGCAAACCTGATATTGTGAGAGCCCTAGTCTACACTGGTCAGTAGGATTAGACTAGAGTGTTGTATCCGCTAATATGTAGATCGGGTGTTTTCATTTTGTTCTTTTTGACTAGGCCTCTTTTCAGATTGAGGCTGTTGAGGTTGAGCTCAACAGACTGCTTAACATATCTGAAAGAGTCCACCGGTGTCCCGCCCTGACAGGTGCGACACATAAGTGAGGGAGATGTCAATCAAACGTGTTCTGTACGCGCTCACACAGTCCTGACAGGAGGTCTGATCAGCCAGAGTCAAAACACCTGTGTGGGTGTTTATGGCCTTTAGTCTCAGCATAGGAAGCCACGCTGGAACACACGAAGACTGCAGCAAAGCCACTCACATATGCCAGATTAGGGTTGCTCTTTAGCTGGATAATACATTAATGTAATACAGTAAGCTTCTTTCTTTTACTGATTAGTTTATGATTTTTCATGTATTCTGGAACCTTCAATTTATAACTTTTAGCTGTGAAAGTAATGTTCATGTTGTTCATATTAGAAGATGTAAAACCATAAATGAAAGTATATACACCATGCATTGTTCAAGTAGGACATGGAGTGCAAAATATGAGCAGAAAATTAAACGACTAAAACTAAACTGTACAAGTGGAAACTAAATATAAATAGTGCAAAGGGCCTACATAAAGCTAAACAGTATATTGAGACACAAATGTTTGAGTATTTTTGATACTTCAATTTCAATATTTCGACCTTTTGACTGTATTTTTAAATTCTTCCTCTAACCCGACCACTATAAAGTTCGGACATTACCACCAGTCGCCACCAGAGGGCGGCAGCGCACTGTTTTTCGTGAAGCACGTTGTTCAGCGAAGAAGAGCAGCCCAGTGGCGCTGTAACGTTAGCTGGCTCTGTAGCTTCTGTTGTTTTGGTTTTACTTGCACATTTATATACAGAGAAAGTCTGGACTGGCTGGGATTTAAGTGGAAGCGTCCTTCAGCAGTAGGATAAATATGTGAAACGCACACAGGAGAAATCAAATAATTATTTGGTAAGTCGGTATCTTCCCACTTTCTCTTGTTGTGTGATGCTAACTACGTAGGTTTGCTAACAGCAGTGCTAACGCCATCCAGTCATAATAACAACACCATGCGTTTGAGCACAGAGCAGTGGCTCTCGCTCAATCTATCGGTCTTTAGATGTTTGGATCTGTGACATCTTGACTACCTTAAGTATAATATAACAAGTGCCCCCCCTCCTCAAGAAGTCCCCGTCTGGGAGTTAAGTATGAGTTAAGTGTTCATAACAATTGCAAATACTTAGAACCATCAAATACTTGAAGGAGTGCCTTAAATAAATGCATTGTGGCGTTGTGGCATGTCAAAAGCTACTAACCTGTCTCCTTAGAGATATGTGAATGACAGTAAGTTATAGTGTGGGTGGGGATGGTGTAGAAATGTTGTTGAACTGAGCTGTGTGTGTGTGTGTGTGTGTGTGTGTGTGTGTGAGAGATAAACAAGGCTATCCTCTTTTCTCATCTCGTAGGTTTGTCACTCTCTACAGAGACATCTTGAGCACACCAGACAGTGAACCAAAATCATTCATTCACCAGTAAGTGCATAAGTCAAGCATAACAATGTTAAGCTTGTCGTCTGACAGAAACTCACCTTTTTAAAATTGCTTTTAATGTTTAGCTTAGTTTGATGTGTTTTTAGTGTTTTACTCCTTGATGTTGTTTGGCTGCTTTTATGTTTTTATGTAAAGTGTCTGAGTATTTAGAAAAGCACTTATAAATACAATTTTTTATTATTATTATTAGTAGTAGTAGTAGTTGTAGTAGTTGTTGTAGTAGTAGTAGTAGTCTTTCATTCAGACTTGAACCTCGAACTGGACTCTTTCGGCTGCACCACTTTCTTAAGCATACTCAAAATGTTGACTGCATGTGCTCAGCAAGTCAGTATAGAGTTGTAGTGCTTTGTCCTGTGCACATTTACCAGTGTCTTAAGATGCCAGTGTTAGGGGAGGATGGATTCATTGTCACCTGTCTCTGTAGCCTCCTGCTACTACATTGGTACTTCTTTGGTTTGATGAGAGAAGTCATTTCCCAGTTATTTCAGCCACTAGTCAGCCCAACTCTCAGGAAACCTGTTCTTACTATAGGATTGTAGTCTAGAAAACATCCAGTGGGAAAAACTCAAGCATGGAGGCTGCAAACCAATCAGTGGACTATGCAGACTTTTGCTGATGACATGAGTAATTACCTCAGTGATGAAGTACTGTAATTTGCACACTAAATTTTGATGTATATTTACACAATACTTGTAGATACTAAAATACAATTAATTTTATCATTTAGAAGTTGGACCAGTGAGTGATGCATTTGTCCAAGCAGGTAGAGTGGGGTCATGCCAATATGTCATCATCAATCATCTATTGTAAAGCCTACTTGAAATGATGTCTGCCCTGAGTACATGCCTATTGAGTGTTGCCAGAATGCCTTGAATGAAATTAATTTTGTGCGTTGGCTTTGCAAGCCTAGAAGACAGCTGGAGAGGTGGTCAGCCAACAGCTTCTACGTCCCAAACCCTATTAACACCTCAGTGGTCTTACAAAGGGGACCTACAGCCGACAGAGCAAGGCCTGCCTTTGTTGGCCCACTGTCAGAGGAACTCCAATCTGGGGCTTCACCATGGTGGAGAGGAAACCTTACACTTTGCATCAAGGCTGCACTGGATGATACACTGATTGCCCACTTGTTTCTGGCTCAGCTAGTGACTTAGGAGGTAGAAAGCGTAGTCCACTGCTGATAAAGACACAGCACTAATGTACCATAGTATTATTCAATAAGTGCACTCAGTAAGGCTATTGTCTTGACTGCCTGTGTGTCAAATCATAGCTTTGTTACATGTTCTGCTCAGTGCAAAAGTGACTTCATAGCTGTACTTTGAACTCATAATCAGTGCAACACACTTCTTTTTTTTTTTTTTGCAGTGGAATATCAACGTGGTCGAAAATCAATTAGAGAGGCATATGAAGAGCAGTTCTCAGCAATGGATTCAAGAGAGGTAAAGGAAAATGTTGTTTTGCATGGCCAAAATATATTGGTTTGCCTTAACCCCTTTGGCAATTAGTGGGAAGAAGTGATTAGTTAACAGGCTTTGCTATCATGAGGTAGGTATTTATGGCAGTATTCACTTGTTCTTTTATAAGTCACTGTTTAGGGGGATATTGATTTTAGACTGCAGAGATTAGTGTCTTGAGACATCTTTATTGGAGTAGGGCAGCATTAAATGATCAAGTTCTTACTAAATTACTAAATTACTTATACCATAATAATTTAAATTTAGATAATTCAATGTCAATTGTTGTCATAGGGATATGTCATGTTACGGTTTAAAATAGGGGTACTTCCAAACATTTTTCATTCAAATTTTGTGTAGAGAACAACTATATTTTTAAACCGCTGAAGTTTTTCGACAGAGATACTATCTACACTGAAATCTGTAGCTCTTTGAACAGCATGTTATTTACTATGTTGAGTTATTCTTAATCCAAATCTTTGCTAATGCTGAACAGACAGACATGTAAAATATTACATTGTCTCATTTCAGGTGACAGTCCATCGAGTTGTCAATATTGTTGAAAAGAGGAGCTCTACGCATCGGCCGGGGATAGAATTTGACAGAGGCTTTAATGATGGCCAGTGGTATGGTGGTACTCGCAATTACCAGGACTCAAGAGAATGTCACGACGCACCCAGTGATCGTCGATACTTTGATGACAACACTAACTTCCGCAGAAATTCTTCCCCCTCAAGAAATGTAAGATAAGCTCGGTATGCACGGATATTAAACTTATATCTTGTATATATAAAGTTATATTTTTTTTACTTTTTGTTCCCAACAACGTCATCAACATTAAACTTCATATTCTCATTTGCACAGTTTTCCAATCCAAGGAGCCCTGTGGAGTTCTCTAGAAAAACATCTCTAAAGGCCACGAGAGGTCAAAAACTCCACAGGGAACCTTTAAGATTGCTGTAATTGTGATTTTGTTTTCAGGAGGGCACGTACTCCCAACAGTGTTATGGCAGGGATGATCTGAGGCATCAGTTAAGCTCAAGGTAATTTATATTGATTCTGTTAAATCATTATTATTTGACACGTCCTAATTATCTCAGATTGTCAGCTGCTTTACTGAATCTTTATGTAATGCATCAAACTGACCACTAGGTGGAGGCAGAGTCCAATCTTTTAAAATATGAACATTATTAGTTTGATAGAAGTTTAAAGACCCTCATTTTTTGTGTGTATTATCAGTGAGAAAAAAATGGGTTAACCCAGCTTATAACTGTACCACTTTTGGAAAATACATTTAGGAAGCATTTATTTATTAATTATTTATTATCTGTGACCGCTCTTAACATAAGCTCGAGAGCTTAACTCCACACAGAGCAGCTAAGTCCAGCAGTTACAGCTCCTACATCAACAGACACTCTTCTCACCCTGGCCACTTCAACATACCAACACTTTACAGGCCCGGGCTCCACTTTCCAGGAGTCATACCAGGCTAGAGAGGGGGGACAAAGGGTACTAGTGTCTACTCACTCAGCCAAACAACCCCACCCCCACCCACACCCCTTACCCCACCCTGAGAGGGAAAACAGCTAGACCACTCCCTCTTCAGGCAAACACTCACACACATCTCAGATATTCTGAGCAGTGTATGTCTTTTCTGCATTAAATTCAAATGTATAGTGTCAGATTACCTTTAAATCTGTTGCTATCCATTACTACATAGCAAATTATTGTGTAAAGACATGCTTACTATTACATGTATTTACCTACCTATACTGCAAATGTAGACTCATTGAATAGTTTTTGTGTTTTCTGGATACCTATGGAATCATTATTCATCACACACCAAAAATGCACAGATTTTTATTTTGTCTATGAATAATTTTGCACATGATTTGGTAGACATTCAGAGGCGACATTAACACTTTATTGATGGAGTGTTTATTCACCCCAGTGGATTAAGAATGTAGATTTATCATAGTGCTTTTGGTGTTACCAGAGTACATGGAAGCAACATTATATTACAACTTTTCAGGCTCTAGTTTTAGTTTTCAACTTTGTTTTTTTTTAAACTTTTGTAAAACAAATGATCCGTGCGGTATGACTATACTGTATGTGTGAGAACAAAGTCCTGTGTAAAAATACATTCTAAAGTTAAATCTGAAGTAAATGAAGCTCAGTAACAGTTAATCAACAAAACTAAGTATTTTCCAAAGTTACAGTTTTTGTGTTATTTTCTCCCCACCGCAGGAAACCCAAAGAAGGACTTCTCTAGTAAACTAGACTATTCAAACTAACTCAGATTACTGAAGCTTCATTTTAACTTCAGATTAACCTTGGAATGAACCACGGAGGATTTTAAACTCCATTATTTACATTGGAAGCACATTAGGAAGGGATCTTTCAGTAGCCAGTGCTAACAGGAGGAATGATTACAACCAAAAACTGTACTGAAAATGATCCCATCCTGTCCTTTAATGGCACTCCAATAACAGAATCAGAATAAGTTTAGAGAAAGTTTATGCTTCAGCTTCTCCTGTCAGGAGGCAGCTGATTGCCTCTCCCCTCGTCTCCCAGACAGCAAGGCAGGAAGTCTGGCCGCAGGAACCTCTCTTGCACAAGGTGCTGCATTTGCCATGTTGACAAGTGGCCATAAAACGACTCTCAATCCTAGCACACGACAGAAACTCCAGGCACTCTGGGTTCTGTTAGCCCAAGCTGGGCTCACACTCTTGGGGAGTAATGGCATGCTCCCATGTGGAGGTTTTACCCAGGGATTATGAAATGGATTAACTGCCTGATGTACAGCTCCAAGTTATTACTCTCTTAATGAACAGTCAAAGGCTACCATGCTAAATTAAGCTTTGTTCTGTTTTTGTAAACTTCCTTTTTATCAGTTTATTGTTATCTTTAAGCCAGGTGTATCTTTGCTTTGTTTAGATATTTAAAAAAAGCAGGCTTCATGATAATGGTCATTTCTTAGTGAGTGAGTGAATGTTTAATAGATTCTTCTTTAATTTACTCTATAGAATTTTGCGTGTTTCCAAAATGAAGTACACAACTTTTTCTTTCTATCCGTAGCCTTTTGATGTTAGTTGTGTACTGCACTGTATGGATGGCAATTTGGTGTTTGGCAAATGGCAGGCTGAGTCTTGGCTACTTCAAACAGACCCTGAGTCGTAAAAGTCTGAGTCCTCATTGGACCTGCTCTTTGTTTGAGATGTTGAGTTCAGGCAGAGGTCGTGGCAACCAGGTGCCTTTGGGACATTTATACCTCTGGGCTTAAAGGTTGTTCTGACATGAGCTTTGAATCTGGGTCATCGTAAAAATGAGATGCAGTGAACAAAAATTTCAGCATTTGTATTTGGGTCTATGACATGTCAGACAAATGCTCAGAAATCGGTCATTAAATGGTTGAATAACAGGTTGGCTGACAGTGCTTTGTGACTTCAGCTCCGTGTTTAGGCGTAATCATGGCCCTGCCTACATCTGAAAACAGATAATAGTGAGAGAGACCAAAATTGGTTCAACTTTTTGCCAACTGTTGCTAGTGCCAAAGTAGAAGATTGCCTCCATTCCACAAATTGATCAGCGTGCCGCAGTGCCCTACTGAGTCTGAATTTTGAAGTCTTTGTGGTTTTGTGTTCTATTTATTCTGTTTCCATTACCCATCTGAAGGCGGTCACTGACATATACCGAACCCTTTTAATTCTTAAACCACTAATGATGGACGTTATGCATTTTGAATTTACACTTAAAATGCCCGTCATTTATTTATCATATTTTTGCCTGGACTTTGCTTCACCAAACAGTTGTCAGGTTGCAGAGCAGTCATTGATTTGTCTGTATTTTTAATGTTTTTCAGGAACAGTGGCAGACCCGGTCCTTATTACCGCAACAGAGGTCGAGGGTCAGGCCCTCCTCTAAGGTCAGTGCCAGACTGAAAAGCCAAGTCGCTGCCCTCACATCCATATGGTTTTCTAGTATACATTCAACAAACTGCCAACTATTTGAGCACACAGGACTTGAAAACAGTTGACTAGTTTTGCTGGAAGTGGGCTTCCAATCAAAATTGTTAAAATTAGTCTGTAAGGAACATACAACCATACAATAATACAACCACAAGTTATTGTATTAACTGACATTCAAACACACAAATTACACCCCACTCTTTAATTGTTTTGAGAGAAAGTAGTGTCCAAGTAGAAAGTAGTGTCCAATGTCATGAATATATATATATATATATATATATATATATATACATAAATTTTTTTTTTTTTTTTTTCATAATCGGAAACCCATGGCTAGTATTATATCCCTTGTTTTAAGTGCAGCACACTCGGTAAATGTGCTTAACCAGGTGCAGATACAAATACAGTAGATAAATGCAAGACACTATTTTACTGCACAGAACCTATAGATTTTTTTTTAACGTTATACTTTAGAAAGGGTTTCTTGGAATCCTGAACTTCTTGATTGTTGGTTATTTTCACAGAGAAGATCACAATAAATATAGGACCTCTCCGCCTGTCAAACGGGACCGCTCTCCAGGAAGGAGGGAAGCCCAGGCACCGGTCCGCTCTGGATCAAACACCAGCAACAGGAGCTTCTCCCCCGACAGGGACAAAAGCTACAGCCACCAACAGTCCCAGAAAAAGCGTAAGTATTACGTTTTCAGTGGATCTCGAACAGCTCAAGTTTACAGATTTGAAAAAGCCTCAGTCACATCACAGTGTGATCGGCTTAAAGTACTACAAGCAGGAAGAGTCGTAGCAGTTTTTTTTTTTTTTTTATTAATCATGTATAGCTCTGATGTTTTAGGGAAATGTCTGACCTGCAACTCGAGTGGGATTATTTTTTATTATTATTATGACCGCCAATTATAAAGCAACACTGTGAATCACCTAGTACTTTGTGATTGGCCACAGCGTGCCAAACCTGAAGAAGCATAGATAATGGGAATGCTACAGTGGAGTTATATACACTAATACAATGTCTGTCCTTGCAGCTGTTCAACCCCCCTGTAATGACAACAATAGAGATCATTTTCCCATTTTACAGAGCCATATGTATAATTATAATGTCTAAAGGTATTAAGCCATTCCAGGTGAAGCATCTGTTTTCAGAGGAGGTGTGTAATGTGAAGGGTCATGGTGTGCTGAAACACGTTATGTTAATTACACTACACCACACACACTTTTAGAGGCTGGGAAAAAGGATACCCTTGGTTTATTGAGGTGGTTTGGCTTTGGATTCAGAACCTGACCTTTCCTTCAGTGAGAAACAGTTAATGCGTTGGCTTAACGATGTCTTCAAAATCACTTTGGGTCTGTCATTTTACATGCTTTCTTTTGTGACTTTTACAGGCTTTAGAGCTTTAATTAGCAATGCTGAACTAATGGAATTTATGGATTCACAAGCAATTCATAAGCGATATTATCTCTCTGAGGCAAAGCAGTGTGGACTGTAATTTCTCCAGTGCTTTGATTTCTAAGATGCATGGACATATTAATGGGTTTAAGGCATAGCTTCATCTTGTACCACCCTTTGAAGATGCAATAAAACTGTGAGAAAACAGTTGTACCTCCCACCTCCACTCCCATCTGGGATACTAATTAGGCCACAAAAAGTACTCAAAAATTGGATTTTGGTGATGTGCTATTCTATTTTTTCTTTGTACACAGGAAGCTGCCAACACATGGCAGTGAAATCTGCATTTTACAGGAGATATCTTGCCAGGGAGATCAGGGTTCTCTAATCCCCTACCCCAATTATGGAAACCAGGTTTCTTGTGTATATGGCCTTAAAGAAATCTGCAAGCAGGAAAGCACTGAGTGTGTGAGGTGTCGGGCAGGTATGGGGATACTCATGAGCCCCCAGCTTAGCTCTGCTGTGTTGGGAGTTTTCCCCAGAGAATGAGAGAGTCACATGTGCGCTACCTTGGCTGACTCTAATCACTATGGTAGCTTCCTTCAGTAAAAACAAACAACTTGGCCGTATTTGTTTTTTTTTTCTAGACACATTGGAGCCAACGGAGGAAGAATATTTCAATTTAGACACAGCTGAACTCCTCCAGTACTATTGTGTGGGAGGATCCGACAAGGGAGTATTTCAAAACACTGTGATTTATGCTTTTTAGCTGCTGCCTAATGCCTTGGATTCACGATTGTTCACGATGATAGTTAAGTGATTGTTTGATGTCTCACTGTAAAAAGTAATTGTTCCTGTTTGCAGTTATGAGACAGTACAGTGGAGAGAGCTAAGGAACTTGTGTGTACAGAGAGAGAGCAATAAAATCCAACTAAGGTCCTTATCCATATTTGAACTTGGGATGCTGCAGTTAATGTGGCATATGTCCCAGACCACTGATTCACCAGGATGCTCCGCCAGGGTTTGTTTAATACGGAGCAAAATTAAATAAAACAAAGCTGCGGTCTCCCTTGTGCATTATTTAGATCAACCTCTTTTTATGGTTTCCCCCCTTTATCTGGTTATTTCCCATAGGTGTCGTGATGAAGATTATCTTCTTGTTTGCTCACTTTTTTCCATTTCCATCTGTTGTGATATTTTCCTCACAGATAAGCCCATTGTGCCGACAAGCCACACTCCCAGCAACTCTGTGGAGGAGTCTCCTCACAGCTCAGCATTTTCAAAGGTAAAAGCAGCAATCTCAACCAGTATTGCTCTTACAAGAAACATGTTGCAAAATAAAATAAAATACAGTAGCAACTTTGCACGCACGGTAGGGTGGGTTTGTGCACTGTTGCACCTATTGTAACAGCTTCCACAACACCACAGTCTTTTATTAGATATTGATATTGTTTCTATTGTAATGAACTTCATAATAGAATATAACACTTTGCAGCAGCAAACTCTTAAGTGTCCTTAAATTCACCCAACACATTCGTTCACAACTTTTACAGATAAATGTATAATCTACAGTACATTGTTTGCAGTTAATGGGCAATACTACCAGTATGGTGCTGTAAAGTATAAAATAACATAGAAAAGAATAGGTTTCAGATTCAGATTCAGAAATA